CTTGACGTCCTCAGAAAATGGACACCTTTTTGTTTGGCAGGCCTCCACTGCAGAGAAAGGGACGGCTAATTAGTCCCTACACAAACGTTAGATGCCCGAGGTGGCCGTGATTCATACGTGACCAAGAGATTCCAGCAGAAGCCTTGGATCAATCCTGCTACGTGCTAACTCCTGATAAGAGATTTTGCATTCAGAATTGAAGTTTTGGCGTTTTTGGTTCCGTCCTCGTTCTTTCCGCTAACATTTTTCTGGTCTCCCTGGATCTGTACAAACAAGTCAACTTTGGGGGCTAATTGAGGTTGTGCTATACAGTGTCCATGACTTTGATGTGGGGTGTAATTTGGATCACCAAAATGCATTTGCTTTAAATCAGGACTTGGATAGGATGTTCGTCCTTTTCCTCCTCTGGCCTCTGGGCCTAAATTGACCATTGCAGCTTAAAATTGCCTCCACATAGCTGGCTCAAGATTAGCACAAATGGTGGCAGTCGTATGCCAAAGTAAATTGCTACATATGCAAATTGTGTGACAATACCTCGGAAAATTATTATTGACCATCTATTTCCAAGTGGGTTTACAATAAAAAAAATTCCTCACCTGCTTGTTTAAAACTTTGGGAATCTACAAATCAGCTTCTAAATTCTAATCCGAGACCACTTCCCCTTAACTAATGATCAATTTCCTAAATGTCTCTATTCTCTTCAGAATTCCCTTGATTGCTAAATCAAATGCATCTTCAATACTCTCCAATCTAGACCGGGGATTGGCATAAATAATCCTTGGAATCAATCTTATGACCTCTTCTCTCATTGCTAATTCTTCATCCTTCGAAACTCCAAGCAATGTCTGGTTGATGCTAACTTTTCCTAGTCTCAAATTCTTCGGTGATATAAACACAGAATACTTGGTGTAGTTCTTTGGTAAATGCCATACATATTGTGAATAAGCACTCCCTGGATGGAAGAAGACTGGAATACAACCAGCCAAAATGGAATCAAAAGTTGACCTTCTGGTCAGTGAATCCCCTGGAGGTTGCAAGCAAAAGATTGAGCTTTGAAACAGCTTCATCAAATTTACTGGATCATCACATTTGTGCCCAACAGAATCACAGTCTAGTAAATTGCATAACTTCTTTGAAGCTTGGCATTGGCCGATAATCTCACTCCTTATCGAACCTTTCTGTCTTGATCTTGGGGCACCGGCAAAAGAGAACAAGTAAGGCCGGTTTTGTCTTCTCATTAGTTCCTGCCATTGAAAAACCTCGTTATCTGTTGAAGGATGGAAGTATGTAGGATATGGTACAGCAAAGTCATTTTTCCAGGACCCTGATTCGATTGTTAACATTGACATGTTCTCAGACCCCGGCAGGAACCTGAACTTGCTACCCCAGTCAGACTTCCTGTTTGATTGTCTCCTGAAATCCCGAGCAATCCTCCCCGAAATTAAGAAATGATCCTTACCCCACATGCTTTTCCATTCGGGTTTTCCTGCAAGCCATTTAACCAAATCAAGACCTGATGAATCTCTCATAGAGGTATTGAATCCCCATAGATAACGACGAAGATCCAGACCAGCATAGTATGGCACAAAAATAGCAGAGGCGATCGAGGAATCATTGGTTAAGCACTTGTATTTCTTCATTCTGTTATGGAAAATAAACTCTAGCAAGAATTGGTTCGTCGAAAACCAACTGTTCTTCCATAAATCCAAAGCATCAGAACTTTCAATCTGAGGACCTAAACCAGAGTTTTCAATATATGTACACATACTGGATTTATCAGTAGCCCTGGTCAGCAGCTGACAATTCTTGAGCACATCTTCATTGAATCGCTTAGGAAGATCATGAATATAAATGTATCGACCCGAGCAGAAATCTTTATTCTTCTCTAGCTTTCTGCTAGTGTTTTCATGACCATCTGAACTAGAAATCTTCTTCTTTGAGTCGTCTAATGAGGTTTTAGTATCAATTGAATTTCTAGTAAAATAAATTGACCGATACTTTGAACTATCACTGCTAGAGAAATAAACGAACCCCTCCATCCTCCCAAAGAAAAACAGATGATGAAGACAGAGCAATAAAAAGAATAAAACAATGGAAAAAAACAGGACAAACCAGAATTGATTGGTGCAATATTTTCTTCCTGACTGGTTTCTCCATTTGCTCTTGATGGGCTTCCCAACACAAAATTCTCTTATCAATACATGAAATTTCATTGCAGCTAAACGAATCAAAAAAAAAAAA